ATTTTAACAGTCTAAGGTTGTTAAAAATATAACTTTAAAAATAAAGTGAGAATTAGCCAACAGATTCTAAATGAAAGTTGTAGTACTCGTCGATAGCTAAGTGTGGATATAAAGAACATCGAAAACGGAGCTCGTACGAAGAAGATATGAATTTCTGAATATATAAAAAATTTGCTCGCAGGAGATTCTAGAAGCAGCGATGCAGACCATAAAGGACTTGACACGTGTCACAAGGTCAAGGGAGCAACGTCATCCATGAAGCACGTTCTGCGCAGAAGGTGGCGCGTCGTGCCCCCTGTGACTCTATATATATGCTTCGATTTCAACCTCATTTCCTCACTCATTCACTCCCAAAACCTCTGGAATCCATTCCTTACCCCTAGCCCTATACTCCCTAGTTCTCGGCTACTTTAGCAAGGATATGGAGCGTTTGAGGGCACGGAGAAATAGGTCTTTCGGTTTCGGAATTCTACCCGTGCAATTTCCTAATTTCCACTAAACTCTCTGTAAGTTAAGTTGAAATTATCTTAATTTAAGTGTAACTTTTAATATATTGGGTAGTGAAGGGTGATGACAGATGAAAATGATAATTAATGACTTTTACAGTACTAGTGTACTAGCAATGTAGTCACCTAGTAGGGGTATTGATGATGACCACAGACTATTCTAGACAAGTTTGGTGAAACGTCGACAAGCTTGCAACCTGTAGATGTTTATAAGCCATACACGGGCAGGTTTACAACCCGTAAGTGTTAATCGAGCGCACATGGGTAGGTTTACAACATGTAGATGTTAATAAATTATATGCAGATAGGTCCAGGACTTGTAAGCATTAATGAATCGTATGTGGATAGGTCTACGACTTGTAGGTGTTACTGACTTGTACATGGGCAAGTCTGCGACCTGTAGATAAGGAATCCTCGAGGCAATGTTGTTTACTTAGAGATCCTTAGATAAGGAATCCTCGAGGCAATGTTGTTTACTTGTAGGTGTTACTGACTTTATTCAACCTGTGGTTGTCTTATTAACCCATATAGATAAGGAATCCTCGAGGCAATGTTGTTTACTTAGAGATCCTTTAGGATAGATCCCTTGAGGTCATCAGTTTAGGATTAGGGAGTGAGAATAAGGAGAATGGGTTATCGGGTTCTTTGTTTGATATGAAATATATAATTAAAACAAATTAGTTATATTATTGTGGGCTGAAAACCCTATGTGCTCACCATGCTCCCAAGTTTGACCCACTTATTTTTTTTGTATCACATGTAGCGGTACGAATGTACATGAATAGTGATGTTTGGATCTGATGAGAGATTCAAAGAAGTATAGACCATAATATAATATTAAGTTGTAAGGTTTGTAATGACTATGTTTATGTTTATGTTTCTTAAATCAGTTATAACATCCCAAGTTTTTAATAATCAATGAAAAATATTTCTTCGGAAATACTTTTATGGGACTAATTCCGCATTTACGAATAATACTCTATTTTAAATAAGCATAATGAAATGGTCTTTTGGGTTTGTTATAAAGGGATTATCACAACATCTATTCAAAGGTGAAGACGTTTATCAAATTTATCACAAGATCGACAATGAATTACTGGATTAAGATGAACAAGTAATTTTACAGTTGGCAATGGTGAAGAACAGACAAAAAAATAATGAATTGATTTTCCATATGACCATGCTTGAGATATTTTAAAACGTGTTCCGTATTTTTAAATTATGTATTTTGTTATTTGTAGGTTTAATGAGGTTATGGTGTTTTTAAATTAGTTTTTTATCTTTGTAATATATAATAAATATGAGGGAAATAATAATTTTATTTAGTTACTCGACATCAATTACAAACATAATTAATTGCGATTAGATAGGCATTAAAACAACCATTAATGGATCTAGTTTTTCCTATTCAAATGCAAGGGGAAGATGTAGGTAGTTCGAAACACATCATCTCGGTAATATATCTAAACCATATCGGCTAATTCTATTATGTTTGATCAACGTGATGGTGCAATATTATGACCGCACACTATACCCAAACTACACCATTTCCCATATGAACATGTATGTCAGTTCAGATCTACAACACAAGTTGTTTTAAAATAAAAAACTCGATAAATGTCGGATGGGAATGAAGATGAGATCTCGGGTGGTATTTTTTTTGCTTGCCACCGAACAGACTTTTGCATCCTCATCTGAAGCACCATCTATGCATATAGGGTTAGTAAGCTAGTCAAACTCCCTGAAAAAGTAAATATCATCATTTACGATTATTGTACAAGTAAAGAAATTCAATAATTTATAGTATTTTACCTCCCATGTAACTGTGTTCAACAAAATCCGTTGAATGTAATCACGAATTGCCTCAGTAAGCATTATTATCGGTACATTGTATTGATTAACCGATAACACAAACATAAATTATAGAATATCGATGTTAGGTATATTCTAGTGGATGTTAAGGAAATAGGCTCTTGCCCATTTCGCATGACTGTTGTTGGCAAGCACCTCACGTGCATCAAGTCTTAGCCGATAAAATATAAGTTGAAAATTCATACTATATGATTTGCATGCAGGAAAGAAGAAATATTCCAATTGACTGTTTCCACTAATTCTTGTTCGCAAATACATGAACACACTCTTACAACAATAGACATGATAAAAATCAGGGAATACCTAACCTATGATAGAGCTAATGACATCGTCCTTATTAGTTATGAAAGATACTTCCGTACCCACTCCGAGAGCTTCCTTCAACCTCATCAGGAACCAGATACAATAGTCGACATTATGTGTCACGACCAGACCAAATGCTATAGGAAAGGTCTGCTTGTTCTCATCCATATTTACCGCTATGAACATTGTCTTAGAAGGACACCGCCTATGATGATGACAGATAACAAGCAACCTATGAATGTATGGAGCTGTATTTTTTTGGGAACCAAAACAATTAGTTTAGCTGTACAAGCGTTAACAATTAAAAAACAATAAAAATGCAGAAAAAGAATATACCACAAATTCAATATCCACAAACAGACTTGGAAATGATCCATCACATCAGTTTTGATGTTCGTGTAAGTATGCGAGTTGGTTCGTCTAAGATTATGTAGGTAAACAGGCATGTTGGTAAACAAATTTTCGTGCTCACTCTCTGAGAAACTTATCTTAATGTTGTTATAAGAATTAATTACGGATGATCTGAAGTAAATATCTAACTACATGCGGTAACATTTATATATAGGGGGACAAAAATTGATTTTTTTCATCTGGAATAAATAGTTAGAAAGTGTTTCAGTGACTCCGTATTGATCACTTCAAAGTACGAACCTGACAATCGTATATAGATTCGTGTTTCAGACAATGATACTTTAGAATGTAAATGCGGAATGTACGGAGATTCTTATTTCAGACCAAAGCTCCAGACAGAACACCCCGACTACTGAATACTTACTCCAGAGAAAGAGATCATTTTATAAATTAATAATAATAATAATAATAATAATAATAATAATAATAATAATAATAATAATAAGTTGGTTATTATTATTAAAATATTTGTTTATATTTATATTAGAGGTGGCAATCGTGTCGTGTCGTGTCAGGTCCGTGTCGTGTCGAAACACTAAACGGGTTGAAAGTTCTTGACCCTAACCCGACCCATTTAATTAACGTTTCGTGTCGTGTCAACCCGTTTATTTTCGTGTCGAGTTCGTGTCGGGTTTCGGGTTAGGGCTATACCTTGAA